TTAGGCCTGCAATCCGTAATTGTTGTTGTGTTTAATTCATAAGAGGTAACCGGAAGATGGTAACTACCGGGGATAACACGGCCTAATTAAGTGAACGAACGCGGTTGAGTTCACTAATTAGTCTAGCCTATTTTTCTAAATCGTAAAGCGGCTAATTGTATTAAATCTTGAAAACGTTTTTCTAGACTGTACAAGAAGTCAGGTTTAATCGTCGAGCGTCTCGCGGTTAAATTAAAAATAAGGAAAAATTCGGGTAACAGACCGTGTCGTTGCCTAGGGCTAGTAATTTCATAAGATAGCGAGATTTGGTACCAGAATTGATTAGACGAGTCAGTCGAGGGTGTAGACGGAACCGTGAACTAGAAGTTTCTCTTATTTTATTTATTTTTATTTTTATTTTCTTGTTTAGATTTTATTTATTTCATTAGATTTTTAGGTAGTTTAGTTATTAAATCAAAACCCCCCCATTTATCGCTTTTTATAATTTCAATTAGTACGAAAAAAATTCACAATTTGATTCACATTCCTCGTGGGATCGACCCTTGCTCGCCACTACTACTAGTTAGTAGGGGTTAGTTGAGGAAAAATATAAATATTAATTTTGCCGCGTTGCGACGCGCGGTCAGCCAGCGGTCGCCTTTGACCGCTCGGCCACCCCCTGTTCTGTTCGCGTCCGCTTCCGTCGTTGCTGAGGCTATTGGAAGCTTGGAGTTTCAAACCTTGGTTGCCGTCGGGTCTCGTGGTGGAGAGCCTCAATCAGCCGATGGATCTTCGTTGGGTCGGCAATTGTAGTCTTCTCTGCCAGTGGGTCTTCGATTACCGCAGGTTAGTCCCTCGATCTGTTTCGGATCGGTGTCATCGGTCGGCCTTGCCTTTTGGTGGGGCTGCCGGAGAGGCCCTCGGACTGCCGCGATCTTTGGTGGTTTGGTTTGGTCGTGATTGGCTACTGGTGGGGCTTCTTGGGAGGACCTCTGAGCGTGGAATTCCGGTGGGTTTTGGTGGGGCGGGGAGGAGTGCGGGCTATAGGGGGTGGGGTGAGACTCTCGTTTTTCCGACCTTTGTGTCGGGGAATCTGGAGTTGGGGATCGAGTCACTCTCTCCCTTCTGGTTTTCTGGTGTTGAAAACTTGGGGGGTTTGGCTCAGCCGAGCCTGGCTAGTGGTGTTAGGCGACCTCGTGCGGGGTCGATGTGGGGAGTTGGCTGGTTGTCCTCTCGATTGAAGGTGCGTTTGGTTCGGGTTAGTTTTGGGGTCTCGGTTTGGCTTCTGTATAGGCGTTCGGCAGCAGTTTCGGAAGTTGTGCCCGGGGCTCTGGATCTTTCCTGGATTGATTGGTTCTCTGCTGGTTACGATCCGTTCGGTTGCTGGGGAAGGGCGTTAATTTGTTATACTTAGTTGTTTTGTTGATGTTTTAATTTTATTTCTGTTCAGTGTTTGTTTGTGTTGGTGTTCGTATTCGTGTTTTTAGGTATGAGCAGTTGGCCCCTTGTTGTATTGTGTTTTTGGTTTGGGCCGTTGGCCCCTGTATTGTGTGTGCCCGACTGTGTTCGGGTCTTCTCCTGTGGGGAGCGTTCCATATTCTCCCGTGGGGAGCGTACCATATTCTCCCGTGGGGAGCTTAGTGTTTCTTTGTTTGTGTTGTAGTGTCGGTCGTTTTTGAGTCTTGTTTTTAGTTTCTAGCTTGGCTAGCTGCGGATCTAGGCGGTCTCTGACCTGTCCTCCCANNC